CCCGTGCGATCCTCCCTGAAACCACAAAAGGTTAATATGTTGGTTTTCCTAGCGCGAAACAAGGACATGATAACCCAGGTCTAAATCACATTCGTTAACGCTTAAGTAATATTTCGTTTATTCTCTGTATTTTCACTTAGGCCAACCCTTTGTTTTCATGTGATACTTTAGAATTCTTTCGTTTTTCAAATTGGAAAAAGGATTTTCTTATTGCTTGTTTTCATTTGATACTTTAGAATTTTTTTGTATCTTTTGTCTTTTAAATTGGAAAAGGCATGTTCTTATTGCGGTTTGGCATTTAACAATAAACAAATATTTTTTAAAACGTGTCTCTCTGTCAGTTAAAAAGCAACAATATATGCTACATAATAACGCAACAATAGAGCTTTGTATGCAGTAAAATCAGGATAAATAAGGTTTGTAACAAAAAAATTAATAAAATAAAAGCGCGGTAACACCGCGTATCGCGCTATTGAGCCACCCATAATAACCGCAAGGGAAATTTCCTAACCGCGACAGCCCTAATCCAGAGTGCATATTCATCCAGAGAAGAGAAAAATTTACTCTTCAGGTTTGTTTGTGTGATTCTGTAAAACTCAGCACATATCTAAAAAAAAAATTCAGAATTAACAATAAGAATACAGTAAGTCCATTCATCTTACAGGGGGGGAAAAATCATAAGTTACTCTTTAAAACCTTACCTGATGTTCCAAAAACAATGCTGGCCATTGTCTTAGTACATCAGCTACAAGAGGTTCTTCAACTATCTCCTTCCTTCTCAATGAGAATGTCAATTCCATTTTCGAGTCAACAAATGCCATGTTGAGATGTTTCTTCTTCAATTCCTCCTGTAATGCATCCCTTTCCTTTTGAAGGGAAGAATCAGTCTGCCCAAGTGGGTTGTCTGGGAGGAAGTTTATCTTGCATCACTTTGCTTTAAGCCATCTAGAATCCTCATTCGCTCTTTTCTGGTTTACAGCAACTTCAGAGCAACCTACAGATCGTAGGTTCTGGCGGTAGTTGCCAACCTTGTATTTGATGTTCATAGTCCGGCTGTGATAACCTGTTCCTGAGCCTGGATCATTGAGACAAGGATACTTTTCAATCAGAGCAGCAGACACTGACTCCAGCTCTTGACTGTTTGGATAAGCCTTGAATGCAAAAACTGCTTGAGCTATGCTATCCAAGATGTCCATCTTCATTTCCCTTGACATTGTGAGCAGTGTTCCATCTTCTTTAAATTTCTCATTCCCTTTGGCAAGCCGTAATTCAACATCATAAGAGAACTTGGGAATCGGGAAGGTAGATGGCCACTGATAATTTTCACGCTGTCTGATAGTCACGGATGAAGAACTCTGGTTTGAGCTGCTGGATGGACATGACATACTGGCAGTGTCTAAAGAGGAAATGGAGATGTCGGATTCTGATTCTTCAGGGACTTTCCAAAGGATCTTAAGCATTGCTCTATCTGGTGGAAGCTCTGTTATGTTGGTCAAGTTGCAAAGCTCATTTCCGAAGTCAGGATTCTCAAATTCTCTTCAAGTCTTCTACAGAAGCAAGATTTTCCCAAATATCTAACCTCCTGATATTATCAGGGGCCAACACCACACGAAGCCGCATGTTCTGTTAAAATAAAAATGTACAAGATTAGAGTACATCAAATTGAGGGCAAAACTGATGTGCCAACATGTTATGTGATTTAAAGGGGTAGGTTCAAAATGTTAATTTTAAACTTTCATAATTTGCTAAGCCTGGCAAAATTGCCTACTCCTGAGATTTCTGGATGGGATATCTGGCTTTCAAAAAACACAGTTACATTCATTAAAACACATGGTTTTGTCTTTTCCATTAAGACACACCGGTTTAGAATGTTATGAGAAAAAATTATTTCCAATAGTCTATTCTCTTCAGTTCATAGCTTTTCTCTTGGTTGCACTGCTTCCAGCAGTGTATGTTTATATTAGAGCTTTTATCCAATCATATTTCAGCAATCGTGTTGCCAGGGTCAAAGAAATCTACCTTAAGGCTTTCAGAATCAACAGTGCAGGCGTCTGTTAGCTTAAATCAATGGCAATGAAACTGTTGCTTTAACCAATCAGATTAGGGCTGTCGCGGTGATTTCCCTTGGGGTAATTTTGAGTGGCTCAATAGCGCAGTATGCGGTTTTACCGCCATAAATATACATACACACATACATACATACATATACACACACAAATTATATATACAGTGGGGAAAAAAAGTATTTAGTCAGCCACCAATTGTGCAAGTTCTCCCACTTAAAAAGATGAGAGGCCTGTAATTTTCATCATAGGTATACCTCGACAACAATAAGATCGTTAGCTATTGTTAGCCTATATGTATAACAGTTAGCCTAGTTGTAATCTGATTTTCTAATCTGACTAGACGAGACTTTCTATTGATATTTTTTCCTGCGCGCGTTCTAGACGGGCTGTCAGTCAGTGCAGTTACAGTGTTGCGCCACAAGGTGGTGGAACGTGACTGTCATTCAACTACACGTTCAAAAACGCTGATTCATTCATTCAAAGAGAGACATAATGAAACGCGCTGTTGAAATCATTTTAACTTTGAGCGCCACTTTAGAAGGCTCAGCTGACCAGCTATGCGTCGATGCTTAAACAGAGATTTCACTTTCCTTGAACATGACAACCTATTTTCACAAATATATATGACTCTGCCTGGAGGACAGACTCAAGTAATCGCACGCGCTCAGTCGATCTCTCTCTCATTCACTGTCTGTTTAGGCTTGTTAAGTGCAAATCTACGGAGCCTCTGTACAAATCAGCATGGTACACATTGTGTTATCATTACTAACTTGTTTAATATTCAGTCCACATGCATTAAGTGTAAATCGAGAAGGGTATGACCTTACGGAAAAAAGAAAACACGGAAAAATCGCGGTTGCTGCGGTTCTTGCATTCCTCTGCGGTTTGCTCGTCAATAGTGATAGTATTGTAGTATTGCGATATTGCGGTTATCGCGACAGCCCTAAATCAGATTTCGAGTTGGCAACACCAGGGCCATCTAGCTGGCTAACGATAACGTCAGCATTTTCTCATCTTTTGATTGGATGGTCAGCATACTAGCAAATAGCATCACTGTAAATCATTTTATTAAAACTTAGTAAAACTTTTATTACTGTTTCTCTGGTTTAGATTTTCAGTGCATTTTGAAAAAAATATTTGCCTACTATATTTAGTAAATCTAAAAACAGTAGTCCTAATGACTGCGAAAAACAACCACGCACCTCCTCGGCACCGGCTTTGTGAAAGACTCGTGAAGTTGAAAAACCACCAGAGTATGCTTTGTATACCAATGCTATCTGTAAGGTATAAATGCGTTTGGGTGAATAAATGTCTGTAAGAACATCGGATGGACTGTATTTGTGTCATTTTGTTAGGCTTCAGCTACAGATGATGTGTTGCGCAATTGTTAATTGGGTTTCTTACTTTAGTAATGGCATTAATTCTCGCTACATAAGATAACTGTCTGTTATGTAGTGCCCTGTTATACTGCATTACTGTGTAATATTTATGGTTTCTATAGCCGTGGCATCATTATGATGGTATGAAGAGATGGATTAATTCATGTAGGACGCCACTGAAGGCCTAGGTGTAAAATGCACGGCCCGCCACTGAAATCTACACAGGTGTTCAGCTTGAAAGCTTCCTTGAAAGCCAGCAAGACTGTGAGCCACAAGATTGTCAGCACATACACAATACACTGTTCCTCTAAGATGTGAATTCAAGGCTTCAACAAACACACCATGCTGCTCCAGGTCTTTCATGTCTCTTAACAGTGGGTCAAAAAATTTGTCATAACCAAATCTTGTTACATTACTACTTTTTCCAAGTAGAGCCAGTTGTATTGAGGGAAGCGTTGAGCGGAATTTGACAGGCAAATTTACACAGCTGCGAGTTTGTGAATCTTTTTTGAAGTGCCAAGGGGATTGCAAACTTCAAAATCATCAACGTAGAGACCCACTGAAATGCAATCCCTTTGAAGACCTAAAAGTTGGTTTTCTTTGTAATACTTCCCACTACGAGTAGATGTGTACTGTCCTTGTACCTCATCCTCAACAAAAACAGCTCTTTCCAAGACATCTGCCCTGTTGAGTAACACTTCCAGAACTCTCAACACTGAGACATATAGGGCTGGGTATCGAGTTCTATACTTTTTAGGCACCGACCGAATTGCCTCGATACCATCGAGTATCGAAAAACGTCTTGTCGTTCGGTACCAAATTTCGATACCTAAGGGGTTAATCTCATCAGCGTCAGTGAGCCAATAAGCTTGCAGCACTAGCCGGTGTGTTCGACTAGAGGCGCGGTGCAGATCAATCATTCGCGAGAGCGATTCGAAAGCACACGGAGCAGTCTGCTCTCTTTAGCTCTTGTGGTACTGTAATACCACCAGTATATGGAATTTGCAACAGAAGGTTTGGGATGAGGTGCATAAAAAAATTAGTTCAACCCACACGAGATTTCAGGACGGAAACATGTCAAATGTCTTGAAACAAATGATCTGAACAATGTCTTGATGTGTGGTTGGGACTCCAGGCCGTTAAAATTATTAGAGAAATAATGCACTCCCGGAGGTGGTTATGTGGCCTGGTATACCTATATGGTATGGTCTTTCTCAGTTCTCAAACAAATGAAGAACTATTCGATTTTTATTGACTGAACGCAAGCGCTTATTCCGATAGAAAACACTGTATCAGTTGCCACTGATTAAAAAATATTTTTGTTTGCTTGGGTGGTAATATTAGGTCTATTATATTAATAGGGAAGGGGGCCCAAAAATTTGTTTTTTCTACGTCACGAAAATAGGTAAATCTGGACCTGTCATCTAATGTGTGTTTTGGCCATGTAATTGTCACAAATCAAGCCTCTGTGGCTCCCTCCGATCACCACCAGAGGGAACCATCACCGGAGTACTAACTGTTCTTAAGGACTTCATTTCCCATCACCCCATGCCTGAAATTGATTACCTGCACAGGTGCTTATCATCATCATGACTATTTAAGCGGTGCCTACCTTACCCTCGTTGCGAAGTCTTGTTTTTGCTACTGCTGACATTTCTGAGCGTTAATACCTTGTTTGATTACCTGTTGCCTACCTGGATTGTTTAGACCTGTCTGATCGTTCGCTGCTTGCTTCTTTGACCTTGCTGTTTTTGGATTTACTCTCCTCTGTCTGCCGCCTGCCTCGACCCTTTGCATGGACTCTGGTTATGATTCTGCCTTGCCTACGTTACCCCTGTATACTGTTGACTGAACTTTGCCTGTCTGGTTGTTAATAAAGCTGCACATGGATCCCAACGTCACTGAATCGTCATTACAGAAGACTTCGCCACAAGTCGATCCAGCGGCTTTCTATCACTTCACCGCGGAGGTAACCGCTCAAGCGTCAGTACTGGCTTCTCAGCAACAACAGCTTAACCGACTTACCTCACTCACAGAGGAGCTGGTAACGACTCTGCGAGCTCTGCGGATACCACCGCCCGAGGAGAGCTCTCCGCCGTTTAACCCACCTCCACACGCTCCGGCAACGGCTGCCGTCACCACCAGCCCTCGCTTGGCATTTCCAGAAAAGTTTGATGGATCACCCCCAAAGTGTAAGGGGTTTCTGCTCCAATGCTCGTTAATCAACAGCCTATGCTATACCCCACGGACAGTAGTCGCAATGCCTTTGTTTGTTCGCTCCTAACTGGTAGGGCATTGGATTGGGCCACTGCGGTGTGGAGTGAGGACCGCATCGTTTTCCCCTCATTTACCAGTTTCATTCTGAGAGCTTCCTGCCCCACTCGACCGTCTCGTAACCCTTCTGCGGTTAGTCAGACTTCCAATCTAACTACTGTATTACAAATACCAGTTACTTTAAGGGTTAATGGGGAGCTTATTGACACTACCGCTCTTATAGATTCTGGGGCAGCAGTTAATTTTATTGATTCCAAATTCTCCAAAACTCATAAAATTCCCCTTGTTCCATGTGAATCTCGTTTGGCAGTGGCAGCATTAGACGGGCGTCCTTTGGGCTCTGGTCAGATTCAGTTCATCACAGAGGATTTATCTCTACGTACAGGAGCTCTCCACACTGAGACGATCCGTTTATTTGTTTTCCAATCCCCTCAGACACCCATTATCCTGGGACTGCCCTGGCTCGAGAAGCATAACCCGTTTATTTCCTGGTCCAAGAAACAGATAACTCAGTGGTCTGAATCCTGCCGCCAACATTGTCTGAACCTGACTCCTCACGAGACTGAGAATAACCCAATCGCTGCACCCAAAATCCCCATGGTTGTTAATAAAGCTGCACATGGATCCCAACGTCACTGAATCGTCATTACAGTAATGTTGCTTAAATTAAATATGTTATTACCTCTGAGTCAGAGCAGCGAATCATGGAAGAGAGAACACAGGCAGACAGCGCTGGAAGCTGCTAATGCTCATCAGTAAATCAGTGGAAAATAAATAGAAATCATGATTCTGTCTGAGCTATGCATTTTAAAACGAACACGCACTAGTGTAAATGTAGCCTAACAGATGTGTAAACTGAAGACTATTTGAGCTTTATTAAAACTATTTTGCACTGATTTATTGTGTTGGTTACATTTTGTTCCTTTGTGCAGTGGCTCAGGAGATGAGTCTTTGAGTTTGTCTAAACATCAACAAGCTGAAAAATAAAACCAAAGTTTTTTTTTTAGATAATGTAATCTTGTTAAAATTGATTTCATAAAATTGGTATCGAAAAAAGTATCGTTCAGGAACCGGTATCGAAGTCAAGGTATCGGTATTGATATCGAAAAATTTTGAACGATACCCAGCCCTACGACATACACTAATGTATTTTGGTGTAGCCTTTCAAAATGGTACTCAATGGGATCAATTACTTGAAAATGCTCTTTAAAATAAGCATTCTGCCTATAATCTGTCAAGAGTGCACCTTTATTTGCAGTGGCTGTAAAAACAGGATTTGTTTTAAGTACTTCAGCTGATATTAGTTCAGCAAGCTCCTCTGTTAGTGACTCATCAATCTGGTTTTCATATTTTCTAAGAATGTCCCTGATTAACTGTTTTGCTGCATACCTAGACGATGAAACAATATCGCTCATCCAGTTTAATATCTCCTGAGTTGCACTTTTTGAAACATGCAAAATTGTCTGCATATAAAGGATCAATGATGCAAGTTTGCGCTCTAGCCCTATATAGTTTACAGGCTCTGAACATGAGTTTGTTTCAGGTCCAGGAGTTACAGGAACAGTGCTAGCTGTAACACTTGACAGTGGATTTGGCATAGGATCTCCAGTCTCTTCTGACCATGATTCTTTTTCTTTGCTTTCCAAATCATCAATTTCAAATATAACAGAAGAGCTAAAATCTTTGAAACCTTGAGACTTGTTTACGAGACATGTAACTACTAAAAGTTGAAAGAACATTGGTTGTCAACTCACAATCCTTAAAAGGACATTTGACTGCATCGTGTCTCTTTAAATGGTTTCTGATATGGTTTAAAAACTGAGATGGCTGACAAACATCTTTAAAATCACATAACTGGCATGTAAAATTAAATTGCTCTGTCACTGCACCAGTCTGTTTGTGTTCTCTTGTCAAATGGGATTTTAACGCACCTATAGTTTTGAAAGTGCAGATGCAGTCAGTATACAGGCAAGGCTGCTGCCAGGAATGCCGTTGATAGTGGTGAAACCTGTAGTGTTTAGGAGGACCTCTCTGCTACTGTGAGCAAATTTGCAAAGTTTACACTGCATTCCAAACCTATGAAAAAGGGAAAAAATATGTTAATTTAAAAGAAATGTAACATTGCACATGTTTAAAGGGGTCATATGATGCGATTTAAATTTTTCCTTTCTCTTTGGAGTGTTACAAGCTCTTGGTGCATAAAGAAGATCTGTAATCCAAAGAGCTATTCTTTATAAAAGTTAAGAGTCAGCCACACCTACCTAAAAAGGTTCGTTCTAACACGCCCCCACATACCTACATCACTATCTGGGAAGATTTGCATAACGCCGCCCAAATGTTATGCATGTTATGCCCAAATGTTCACGCAAAGAAAGAAGGCATAACTTTTATTCTCGCTTTCACCGTGGACAAAGCGGAGTCCAGCCCGGGGTCGTCACATGTGGTTGCCGCAGGCATCACAATATGGTAAGGGACGTAACATTTCCATCACACGCTTGAGGAATTCGGCCAATCACAACGCACTGGATAGCTGGCCAATCAGAGCACACCTAACTTTTTCAGACCGATGAGCTTTGTAAAAATGTACGCGTTTCAGAAAGGCGGGGCATAGAGGAGAAACAATGTACAGTATGTAGAAAATAATGTGTTTTTTGAACCTTAAACCGCATAAACACATTTCATTACACCAAATACACAAAATAATGTTCTTTTCAGCAGCATCATATGACCCCTTTAAAACAACAAAACACACATTACACACACATACATATACATGTTTACTGTGTGGAGACGTGCTGATATCGCGTTTGGTCTCGTTCTGCATCGCGTATCTTGTCAGTGTCTGCGCTTGCTTGGCCATTTGTTGTGGAGAAAATAAGGAAAGTATGTCCAGCTGAATTAATGTAGTATTTTGTTAGAAGGGTATAAAAAAAGCTTAGTTTACCGCAGCAGCGGTCGCGTGAAGGCCTCCTCGTTTGAAGACCAAAGAGTCTAAAGACCATCGACTCCACCGGGCAGGGACACCGGCAAAGGATAAGTATCGCTTTTTATTTCTCCTCTTTCCTATTACTTGTTTTGCTTCCATTTCAGTTTTTATAACCATTTCTTACTATGTGTAAGTAAGTTGTTGTTTTTTAGCATGTGTATTTGGCAGTGTTATTTTTTAGGAATACTGATAAACTACTGTCATTTGATTTGTATTATTTGTATTTGTTATTTATTTTAATTT